ATGGAAAGAGGTGAAGAGAGTGGAACAGATTGGATGGGGCAACCACGCTTAAGGATATTAGGTGTAGTCATATAGGACATGAATAAGACAGCAGGATGAACACAAAGGTCATGTTGGAGAGGACACTATCAGAAGAGATGGAGGCAAGGTAACAGGGTGAACAGACCGTGTGGCAAGAGGTGAAGGGAATGAAACAGAATGGATGGGGAGACCATGCTAACGGACGTTAGGTGCAGTCATATAGGACATGAGTAGGACAGCAGGATGAACACATACGTCACGTTGAAGGACATTGAAGAAGAGATAGAGGGAAGGTAAAAGGGTGAACAGATCACATGGAAAGAAGTGGAGAGAATGGAACAGCATGGATGGGTAGATGATGCTTAAGGATATTAGTTGCATTCAGAAAGGACGTGAATAAGACAACACATAGGTCATATTGGAGGACAATATCAGAGGGAAGGTAACAATGTGAATAGATCATATGGAAAGATGAATGTCCTTTAGACAGAGGTGGAGGGAACATAACAGAATGAAGGCCAGAGGTGACTTTCACACATTCAGATCACAGAAGGAGATATATTGAGGAAAGTTGTTACACTGTAGAAGGAGCGAGGGTAAGGGAATGGGAGGAAATACTAATGGCAGAAAGTGTCGTCAAATAGAAAGGGGTCAAAGATCATGCCAGGTTAGCACAGGCAGTTATGAAGGACACCATTCCTGGGCATTGGATCAGATGTGGTCATAAAGAATCAGAAAAGGTAACAGAATTAGAGAGTCAAGGGCAGAGGCAGGTACCAGATGTAGCCATATAGACAACAGATGACAACAAGGTAAGAGATGGAACGGGACCCAGTAGGCATCAGATATTATGAAATTTGAAGGTGGCAAATCAAGAAGAGTATGGTGAAGGTTAATACAAGGAGGGCATGGAGAGTAAATAACAGAAAGGTTATGGCAAGAAGCCCAGAAAGCCTCGACAATCAGAGGTATGAAGGAAGAGCTGACCTTGGTGCCCAATACAACTGTATTTGCTTCTCACATGCTGCTGTGATTGGTTTTCATGGACCATAATAGAAATTAGCAGCACTCGATGATATGTGCAAGAAGTAAAGCACTGTTATTATAATGTCACATGCGTCATACAGCCTTATATTTTCACAAGCTGTATGACGCATGTGACAAAATAATAACAATGTGCTTTACTTCTTGCACATATCATCCAGTGCTGGTGACTTGTATTATGTACTATATCTGACACGGCGCCATCCGTGTTGTCACTTCAAGCACCAACCTTCCATTAAGGTCTGTACGCTGTATGGAGTGCAGATGATTTCGTATTATCGATGGTTTTCATGGACAACACGATCAGTTCATTAAAGGAGAACTATGAGGCGAGTGCTTTTCACTTACCTCATAGTTCTAGCCGACCTGTGACAATGAGACTGTCACAGGTCGGCTCAGTAGATTGGGAGGTGAGCGAACACATACCGGCGTTCGCTCACTTCTCGATCCTGTCACAGCTCTCTGCCGTGACAAGGGAGTGGCTGGATTCCCCCTCCCCGCTCCGATCCTCCAGCGCTGACTGGCGGAACGGACGGGGGAGGGGGCGGGTACAGCTGGCTCTGCCTCTAGATAGGCAGAGCCAGCTGTTACTCACGCAGCTGGGCGGATCCAGACATAATTGTGGGGATCCGCTTCAGCTGCGGCGTCTCAGTATATAGAGAGCTGTAGCTCGCGGTATACTGAGCTTAGGGTGACGGGAGGACGCTAGTTTGTGTCTTCCCGTTACCTTAAGGAGAACTATGAGGAAAAGCCTTAACCCCATAGTTCTCCTTTAAAGAAAATGAACCCAGCAAGATAACTCAGATACACTGACATAGAATAGAGGAGGAAAGATCTGGAGAAGGTTGGCAGGCATTGAGGAGGTACAGAGAATGAAGGAAAGAGCCATGAGGCAACCATGTTAGAGACAAGTGTCAGGATGGAGAAAATAGAAGAAATGGTTTGAATGACTGTAACATACTGTAGTAAGGTAAAGCATGCTAAAAAAAGGACAATGGGGGTCATTTACAATAGAGTTAGATATTATATCAAGCTTTCATTAATTGTGACGCCTAACAACATAATAATCAGACAAAATCTACCATTTAACTCCAGTTTTTAGCTTTCACTATGTGCCTTCTGATATCTCCATGATGCATTGTTCTTTTATGAGCAATGGACAATAAATGTCAAATCCACTCATATGAGGGGAGGCCAATAAGCTCGTACCCTCACCATGATCTAGATGTGCTAGGGATCTGAAATTTTGCACTTTTATATTCTTGTTTTTGTAGGTGGTGGTGAATTATAGTTCAAGCCACGAGAATTGGAGTAGGTGTCATGCCGGACAAAGTTGAATACTGAGCTCAACTTTCGCCACCACACTTGGTTCTGTGGCAGTTGACGGACGACCTTCCCTTGGGTCATCCTGTATATTTGTGCGACCGCACTTGATTTCTCTCTTCCATCGTTTGACCGTCTCATATGATGGACAATCCTCTCCATACACAGCTGACATCTCTTCATGGATTATCTGGCTCGGTATTCAACTTTGTCCGGCATGACACCTAGTCCATTTCTCTTGGCTCTAACTATAATTCACCACCACCTACAAAAACAAAAATCGGCATGCATATTACTAAGATATCCACCTATAAACCTGCAACATTTCAGATCCCTAGCACATCTAGATCATGGTGAGGGTAAGAACGTATTGTCCTCCCCTCGTATAAACTCATTTTAAGTCATTCCAGCCAAAAAAAGGGTTAGCAAAACAAATCAATACACTTACAAAGGGGCCGGGACATTTTAAATGGGGAGGGTACAAGTTGTGGATGTACTTTACACGGTAGAAGGAACAATTATTGGTTTAGGATGTTATTGCACCTTTAGGTGAGAAATCACAAGCCTACATTGTAAAGGGCACTTGTACATCAGTAATGGACATAATGCTGTGAAGGAGGAGCAGAAGGGAAGCAGACACATCTAGCCCACATTGCCTCCATACGGTTTTCCTGCAGTGCTATTAGAGTAGCTTGTGGCAAAGTTAAAGCTGAACTCCGGGATAAGGAAATTGTTGTTAGGGTTTACATGTACTTTAGGGTCTCTTTGTAAATAATTTGCAGAGCCATTCGCCCTGCGAATCTTTGTGAACATTCTGTGTAAAAAGAGGCAAAAATAAACATTATATAGGGTTATTCACTGAGCTGCTGAAGGCAGCCGAGTGAATAACCGAGCCGAAGTGAGATGAACGCTGCTCGGCTATTCACTTCTGGCTTGTACGGCCGATTTCAGCCGTATATCAGCTTGCAGAAGGTCTTCGACTCAGCCGATCCAACATCTGGATCAGCTGAGCAGAAGCTCCAGCAGCTCACTCGCTGACGTTCGCCCCTATTGTATTCACATAGGGGCTGAGCGGCAGTGAGTGAACTGAGCGGCATTCGGCTCAGCTATTCTGCTCAGTACCTCCGTGGTACCGAGCGGAATAGAAAATAGTGAAAATAGTAGAAAAAAAGGTTAAAAGATATTTAAAAAAACAAACAAAAAAAACAATTGGGCGGCGCTAGCAGTGACAGCTAGCTCCGCCCAACTGTTTCCTATTGGCCGCCACCTGCTAGAGACTTCTAGGAGGTCCCAGCCAATGAATAACAACTGGGCGGAGCCGTCTGTGATGTCATGGCCGGCTCTGCCCAGTTGTTATTGTTGTATGACAGATCAGTGTCCCCAGGTCATTTGGGGATGCTGATCAGTCATTACAACTGGGCGGAGCCAGCTGTCAATTGCCACGGCGAACTGCCGGCCTTCGGCTGTCACTTCGGCTCAGTTGAGCCGAAACATATGCCTTCAGGCTGATGGCTGATCCGCTCGGCTGCCTTTGGCTGCTGTACGGGCTATAATCAATAGCCTGTACAGCAGCCCTTCCATTTGACTGAACTGAGGTTCAGAGTCGGCCAAAGAGAACCAAAGGATCAGCCGAAGCTACGGCTGGCTCCTTCGTGAATAACCTCCTTAGAATATCTTTTTTGAGGCTAATTGTAATACCACATTATGGCCACTAGATAGAGCTGAAGAGCACAGGAAATAAATACTTATTTCCTAAGCACCTCAGCTCCATCTAGTGGCCATAACATGGTATTACATTACATTCGTCCTGAAAAGGACGTTAGTTTTTTTGCACAGAATGAACGTTCACAGAGATGCGCAGTGTGAATGGCTCGGCAAATTGTCTATAAATAATCCTCTTTAAGTCTGACTAGTGGGTGCTTACAATGTTATACTGACAGCGCAGCAAAGGGGTTACCTTTTAATTAACAAAGGCATAACTGTTTTATTTATAAAAGTTAATCTAAAAGATTCCACGTTATCAGTGAAATCATGCTACAAAGTTACTAGTGATGCCATATTGCCAGAGCCAGAGGGATGCCAGCCCATCCCCTTGTTTGCTGGGTAACTATAAGGCTGTTGCTTAAGAGATACATAGAGACTAAAGAATTCCTGTATTCCTGGTAACCCCTCAAACCCGCTGCATGTGCATGTAATACTGGGGGCGCCTCTAGCTGCACAACCCAATGCTCATATTGTGCTGCCTACTATAGACCCATCACTGCAGTATGACTGGCTACTGACAGTTATCAATTAGCAACTACATGTTCACACAGCATGCACCATGATGCAAGTGATGGAGTATTTCACAAAACGTTTATGCACAAGAAAAAGGGGATTTGGTTCTTCTAGGGACACAGGAGCTCTTTACTCTTGCTACCTTTCACCCTTCCTCATATATTCATAATACTGAGAGCAGTGCCAGACTTCTCTACCCCTTTTCTTTCACAGCATATACCGTTCTCCCCAATGACAGGTGCACTTTCAGGTTAAATACAGAGTGTCCCCGTTAGTCCACATGTACTACAGACTAAGGATGTTACCTGGGATTTCCCCACACTGAATTGCATTACCTGGGCGTTTCCCAGTATTTTGGGTGTCCCAGATTTGTGGTCTCACTGCTGCACCCGTTTGGTGCCGGCTCGTTTCACAATCTGTGCCCCTTTCCTCCCGTCTCCGACCTCTGACCTCAGAGAGTCAAACTCGTCCTCTGCCTGCCAAGGGGCAGCCCGGTTGAGGGAACGTGGATTTTTTAGGGGATAGGGAGACGAAAGGGCACACATGGACAACAGAGGTAGACGTGGAGAAAGAGACACGAGGAGTACACAACAATAAACGGGACAGAGAAAAATATGGAGAATGAGTATTGAGCACAAAACACAAGACAGAACAAGAGAAAGAACAAGTAGAGGACAAAGGGTCAGCGAAGACAGCTCTGTACACTGTGAGTGTGTTCAACAACGGGAGACCTGTACAAGGGACATGTGTCTATATATTAGCAATGTATGCCATCAAAACTAATGATGGAAGTGTGGACTGAGCTTTCTGAAGTCTGTGAGCAACGTGTTTAAAGATACTGTACAGCCAGCACTCACATTAAAGTGAACCCCAAATGGCCTAAAATATTTCCAAATGGATCTGAGATTGAAGCGCCTCAAATGAATGATCCAGATACAACTTTATTCCAATGTAATATTGAGTGGAAGAGCCAACATGTTTGAGGGCCAGATTCCTTCATCAGGGCTACAGATATACAACAACGAAAATATAAACCTAAATCTACAGGGTTATTCACAAAGCTGCTGAAGGCAGCTGAGTGAATAAGCGAGCCGAAGTGAACAGAGCCGAACTCTGTTCCGCTATTCACTCCGGCTCAGTACGGCTGAAATCAGCTGTACATCGGTTGCCTTCGGTCTGCCGAACATGCCCTGCATGTCCTGCTGAGCCGAAGTGCAGAGGGACTTCCACTCAGCCGATCCAACATCTGGATCAGCTTAGCCGAAGCACCGGCAACTCACTCACTGCCGTTTGCCCCCTATTGTCATGGGGGCTGAACAGCCGTGAGTAAATAGCCGAATGCCGCCGAGGGGTATTCGGCTTGGCTATTCTGCTTGGTACCTCCTACCTTAAAAGAAGTGAAATGAATGATTAAAAAAAAAGAAAAAGAAAAAAAAAGAATTGAAACATTAATTTAAAAATGTAAATAAATAAGAAAATAAAAAAATACAAATGTTTTAAAGAAAAGAGAAAAAAATAATTAAAAAAACAAACAAACAACTGGGCAGAGCTAGCAGTGACAGCTAGCTCCGCTCAACTGTTTGCTAGTTTTGCATCCCCAGGTCATTTGGGGATGCTGATCTGTCATTATAACCGGGCGGAGCCAGCAGCCAGATCATGGCTGGCTCCGCCCAGCTGTCATTTGCGTGGAGATCGGTCAGGTTTGGCCGACCTTTCTCCGTGCTTCGGCTGACACTTTGGCTCAGTCGAGCCGTAGCTTATGTCTTCGGCTCGGCTGAGCCGCTTGGCTGCCTTCGACTGCTGTACGGGCTATTGTGAATAGCCCATACAGCAGGACTTCGGTTCGAATAAATTGAGGGGCTCCGGCGGCCGAAGAGAGCCGAAGGATCAGCCAAAGCTATGGCTGGATCCCTCGGCTCCATAGTGAATAACTCCCCTAGTGTTTGGTTTCACATTGAAAGATATGAAATGTAATTCATACAAAACAAATACTCCAAAACCAAAACTCAGTGAACTGAAAGCAAAAAAATGGAGGGGGGGGATCTCAGATGAAATATACTAGATTTGGACAACCTCAACACTCCAGCTCTGGTGAAATCCCATGAAGTTTGGTCAAGTCCTATGAGGCATTGCAGATCTCTAACAGGGAAAGGTATGACTTCAAGAGGCATAGACATGATGTGATTGTAGATTCACAAGGGCTGGATTGCCAAAGATGCCTAAAATATACTGTCAGTATTGATAAAACGTCATCAAATGTACACCACCTGGCCCCACAAAAAGGTCACCACCTGGATATAGCTAAGCAAATAGCTGAGAGCCTTCCATTGGGTAATTGGGCAAGATGACAATGCCAGGATTCATCGGGCTCAGATTGTGAAGAGTGGTTCAGGGAGCATGAGACATCATTGTCACACATGGATTGGCCACCACAGATCTTAACCCCATTGAGAATCTTTGGGATGTACTGGAGAAGACTTTACACAGTGATCCGACTCTCCCATCATCACTTCAATGTCTTGGTGAAGATTGAATGTAATTATGGGCAGAAATCAGTATTGTGAAATTGTATACGATAATGGAAACTATGCCACAGTGAATGCACGCCGTAATCAAAGCTTAAGGCCTTTAGAGTGTGTGGCTTTTTTTGACCAGGCAGTGTGTGTATTTAGAATATTGTCTATAGTAAAATCCATACACTATAGCAAGAGAAAAAAAACAATCAATTTTACATTGGAACACATTTATATCTAGACCATTAATTCATATTGCGGCACTTCAATCTCAGATCCATATAGTAGTCTTACAAACCAAGGAAATGGTGGAAATTTTTTTGGCGTGTAGAAGCTGCCAGATCGGAATCCAGATACCATCACAACACCATTTGATAACAACACCAATACAACATTGTAGAATTATCTTAGGCTTCTGGCACTAGTTATCCAGTTCTCCTAGTAAAATATTTCCTATGGTAACAACAATACCGAGATTGAGACACTTTGGAATACCTGCAAGTGAATGTTTTAGCCTTCTAATTGGCTCCTCTGGATTTCCAAGCTGTTCATGGTACATTGACCACTGCCTAAACTAAGTAAAGGGTATCAGTTTAACTTCCAACATTGACTTCTAGCCAGGCTGAGACAAAGCTCTGCCTCCTCCTGGCATTTCATAGTTGAATGATAGGGAGTGGTGCCTACTACCATTAACGGAGAAGGCTTTATCTCAACTTTTGGTGAGACATGTTGTTTTATATGCTGGTTTTGTGAGTGTGCCATGATGCCTTTCTACTTTTCTACTCTTCAAAGCCCATTTTGTGTGCACCTTACTGTATAACTGGTAACAAATTGTTGAGTGCGTTTGTCGTTTGTTTTGCTTTATCTCAACTTTGCCACAAGTTGAGGCTCCATGTACATCCTGGGGCTAGTATCCAAAGGGCTCCACAAGGGTACATGACTTACTTAAAAGACTAATAGAGGTTCTTGCAGGCACCACAAAGTGCCTATACTTCAACACTGTTGTTCTTTTAGAAATGTTTAATGTCAGGGCACGGTAACTTAAATTTCCCTATTCATTGGAGTCTTTAATGGGTTTCAGGGTCTTTTATGGGCCCCAAAAATTCTGCTTGAAGCTTGCTGTTGCTCTTCAGGCTGGTTTTTACAAGCTAAAACCCATAGGCATTAGCAGGGCATCAGCCCTGGTTTCCAGCACATGCAGAGAATATGTTAACATGATGAGCACCGTGTCATTGGTAACCTTATTGACTGGAAGCTTAGCTGCAGTTTTTAGTTTTTTACTTCCACAGTGACCTGCCCATGATGTCATTATTACCACGCTGGATTTATAATAATCTCTATATTACTCTTTGAGAATTTGGGAGCATTGGCAATATTACGAACCAGTTTCAACTGATAGAAAGCACTATCCATTTCGTTTATTTTAGCAACGTTTGCATAGAGTGAGACGACTCTCACTGCATGAAGTCCAATGTTGGATCTACATAAAGGTATCTTACATCCAATGATGGCCATACATGTTATTTCTGATTATACATTCACTGCACAACCTCCTCTTTTAATGGGTAAGCATAAGAGAAGGAGGTCAACTGCAGGCACGGTGCATTTGCTTACCAACACAAGCCTTAAAGTGACAATAAACCCTCAGATTTTTTAACATAAACCAATACTGTAATGTGTGCCTTACTGTAATTCATGGTTGTTTCCCTTCTCTTTGCTGCTCTTCCTTTTAAATCCTCATCTCTTCTCATGCTTGGGGAGAACTTCCCTTTGCAGCTGAGTGCCTCTTCCTGTAGTGCTGGCTCAGGTTGTGAACCTTCACACAGACGCCATGTATCCATTTCAAAGACAAGGCAGTCTGCTGCAAAACAGAAGTTCTGCCCAGCATGAGAACAGATACAGATTTAAAAGGAAGAGCAGCAAAGAGAAGGGAAACAACCATGGATTACAGTAAGGCGCACATTACAGTATTGTTTTATGTTAAAAAATCTGAGGGTTTAATGTCACTTTAAGGAAATTGTACAATCAAATTCTAACATGTGGCCAGCTTGAATTATTCTTAAAGCTATTATCTTCTGTCCATTGATTTGTCCAGTAAAGGGCTTCAGTTAAACTCCAAACTGTTCTGCTTTCATCAGAAGTTGCATGCCTTTATAAATAATACAAAAATATAAAACCCAAAAGGCAATACTTGAGGATATATAAAAATATTATGACCCTGTGTGGAACTGTCATGTCACAAGGGACCAGTCTGGGGTAGGACAGACGCAGCGGGTGGGAAGAAAGGGACAGAAAGCAGATGAAGATGAAGGGGCTGTACATAGGGACATCATACCTCTCGGTGCAGCACTGCGTACTTCAGATAATTAGGCGTTTCACTCTCAAGCTCTTCTGGCTCTTGCAATGTCCCCTCAATTATCAAGTCCTCATTGTCCCCCAAATCTGTGGACCCTGGTGGCCCCACTCTGCGCAGGACCTTTCGGACTGTCTGCAGAAGAAACCAGGCAAACATATGTAATACGCTCTGTTCTGCAAAGGGAATGCAGGTACATGACAACAAGTGACCACAATGGGGGGCTATTTATAAAAACTGAGATGTCTTCTGATTTTTTTAATATATAAAGAACCCTTGGAGACTTTTTAGGTCTCAGGTAACAGTTCACAGTGCATTAGCAGGAACAGTAAGTTGTGGTGACATATTTTGACATCCAGGGGCTGCTTTATATGAGAAAATTATTAATTAAAAATAATTGGTGGTCAGTGGTGGAAAAGTGCCCCCTTTGGTCAGAGAAGCACCCCTTTCACAATGGTCAAAACATATGTCACCAGCACACCATGGATCCTTATCAATAGTCCAATTTATTTATTGAAACAATCACCTTACAGAGTCACTGCAATGTTTTGAGGCCACAGAGGACCAGCTAGGTGTAGAAGGAGACCCCCATGGGGGACCACCTTCCCTCACACTCCCTATCACCCCTTTCCTAATCTCCTACTGATTCCTGACATTTCTGCTTCCCTTTTCCATGCCCCATTCTACTCTTTGAGTCCCTTCCCATGACCCTTCCCCCTTCTTTTTCTCTGTAACATCTAAGATCCCCCAGGAAAACACAAGAGCAACCAAGCTAGGCTGCAAACCAGAAGGCCTATGTCCAGCATTACCAATACCAGACACCTGGCTGACAGGAGGGTTTTGGCCGAGCCACTATACTATTATGTCTTAGGCTGACCCCTTGGGCAAGGCTTTCCCTTTTTTGAGGCAGCCTGAGGCTGTTGCTTCAGGCTGCATCTCTTTGGGTCAAGTGGGGGGCAGCAGGCAAAGTGGCATGGTCGCTGCACAATGTTTGCAGTGTGCCTGCCGCCCCCATTTAGGCCAGAGCATCCCAAGTTTCTAAGGCCTCATTCACACGAGAAACGGCCGCCACGTATAGCTCCGTGCTGCGTGCACAGCCGTATCGGGCAGCTCCCGGGAAGGACAGGTGCTGCGTGTGATTAGTACACAGCCCCTGTCCTTCGCTTTTGGAACTACGCGGCCGTACGCCGTCCTACGCTCACCCCAAGTGCAGGTCCATACGGGTGTCCCGACTCGGACGCAGACAAGATCCATCCTGTCAGCGTACCAGTACGGACACCCGCACCTGCGCGGACGTACGTAGGTACGGCATACAGCCGCGTGCTCCCATAGAGAAGGACAGGGGCTGCGTACTAATCACACGCAGCACGGAGCTGTACGTGCCGGCCTTTTCTTGTGTGAATGAGGCCCAAGGTGGGCAGAGGTGGGGAAATATGTTAGGGCCATACACATCTCCCACGCCCAGCTCTTAGCAACCAGGGATGTTCTGGGTGGCATCCCGCCCAGCTCCTGGTTTGTCCTGAAAAACAATAAATTGAATAAATAAATAGAACCAGCTATCTGCCCATCATTTTACATGCTCACAAGTGTCTCCAGCAATGATTCAAATACCTGCTTCATGGAACCATCTACACACTTGTTGAAATCCCTTGTACAAAATGGTATAAAGCAAGAGATGATGGCCTAAGGGATCAGAAGAGGTAAGTATTCCAGGGACATACCCACCTTCTTTGTGACTATGTTCCCCTGCTCATCTGTAAATTCCTCTTCTGTCACCTGCTCCCCAGGAATGTCAGGGCCTTCATTCCCCTGTAAACAAATGACAAGGTTATTGCACATTGTGCAGGACAGCAGTAAATATAGACCGGCTGATGGAACTGTACATACAGGATCTGCGACCAGAAATAGCCACGCTGGCTCGGACACAGCGGTTATTTTTAAAATGTGAAGTTTGTGAAACAGATGTTACAGTTAAGCTCACTCTGTAGCCCACATGTGTAAATGGCATATGCAGGGATGGGGTCTCTGCTAAAAATACATGATTGAGCTTATCTATGCATGATTCTCAACATTTTGTCTTAAATTGCATAAAATTCAGATTTTAAGATTTACTTAGTTTGGCCGAGGACAACCCTTGTAACTTATAGTATAGTGACCCTGTGCCCAGGCTGTACAGTGGTACCTCGGTTCTTGAACGCTTCTGTTCGCGAACAATTCGGTTCGCAAACAGGAAGTTCGGCAACATTTTGCTTCCGTTCGCGAACTCCGCATCAGATGACGAAAACACAACCGCGGCCATCTTCCCCGCTCTGACACGTGGTCGTGGCTTCCTCTAGTCGAGATCGCGGTATGATCACAGTATGATTCAGTTCGTGACCAATTCGGTTCGCGACCAGAATCGTGGAACTAAAGATGAACATATTCTGAACAAGCCCCCTAAAACAAGATCATATTACAACTGTAGCTATAGGCATTGTGGCAAAATTCATCTTCAAAGTTCACAACAGACGCACAGGACCCCCACCCTCCTGTAGCATACCAGGCAACATGGTAAAAAAAAACAGCATGGGGTCACCTCTAAATTCATGCCAGACCCATATGAAGGATAAGGGTCTGGTATGGCTTTTGAAGAGAACTCTATGTAAAAAAACAAAAACAAAAAGTAGCCCCATTGAAAAACATATTCGGTGATGTAAATTCAAGTTAATCATGTCACCCAACGCTGTAAGATGCATTGTCAATCTGGATGAGTGACGCCTGACACCCCACAGACGTGAACATGACGACCCGCACCATTACAATGTCACAGGAGGGCACTTCATTCAACTAAATGCACAGTGGCGTTTTGCGATGATCTGCAGCGCATTGACACATGTTTTTTTGTTTGTTATGTTGCATTTGTATACATGTATGGTGTGAACAGGACACGTAAAGAACAATTGTCTTCTCATTGCAGCGTCTTTGCATTGAGCCTGTGTTGATCAATGGTGGCCAATGGACATGGTGTAAGGGCCGGATTTCCATTTTGGGAGCCTGTACACACGAATGGAAATCTGTGTAGACTGAGCCAGCGCCCTTACCTGCTGCGGGACCTGCCGGCTTTCAAATATGCAGAGAAGGACCCCGGCGTCATGTACAGTTGCCCTAAACGCCTGTCTGCATGGGGGGGGGGGGGGTGATGTAAAAGTAACACTCCCCCCGCAATGATGGTGTAAGGACTTACCTTAAATGATGCCTCTTGATCCGATCGTCTTCTTCTTTCCAGTAGTTGTCAGCGACCCTCCGATGCTGGTGTCGGTCTCTGATCCAGCGCAGACTGCCCGGGTCCCACGGTGTCTGTCCAACGTGCATGCTCCCGGCTGTGTGCATTCATCTCCACTGTGTCTCTCCTCTCCTCCCCACCGAAGATCTCTCCTGCGCATGCGCCCGCCCCATCACCCTGCACGGCCGCTCAAGAAGCTCCAGATCTACAGAAGGGAGCGAGTGACGGAGACACAGGTACATTTTTTGATTTTGGTAACTTTTTTATTTTTTTATATATTTTATGCATATCTACTACTTGCTTAGCAGTAGAGATTTGTTAAAAGAAAGTAACTTTAATACAACTTTAAGCAGCGCCAGGGATCCTCTCCCTTCGCTTGCCGAAGCCGTCGATTTCTGTAGGCATCGCTGGTCTTGGAGCAGGAGGGTGCATTTTGTGCAGAATGCACCCTCCTTGCTATTGCCGCTGTTGTATCTGCACACAACACCGGGAATAAGGCAAAGTAGGTACTCTATGAAGTAAAGATAACAGTCACATTAAATGCAAAAAGTGCTATCCTTTTTGAACTTAATGTGAAGCCAACGTTTCGGGGCCGTGCAGGGTCCCTTCATCAGGGCAACAACGTGACAGATGAAGAGACTCTGCATGGCCCCGAAACGTTGGCTTCTTGACCTATGTGACGTATCAATAAAAGTGCTATCCTTTTTGCACATTACGAGTGCGTGCTGGTGACTTCTATCTTTACTTGGATTGGTACACAGCGCCATCTATGTCGTCATTTTGAGCACCAACAGACATTTCGATTGGTTCAAGCGCCGTATGGTGTGCAGGTGATTCTTTAACGCTATTTGGTACTCCATGGAGGGCGCCTGTAGGTGCGGGCCTACTCTGCCTAAGGCCCCATTCACACTGAGCGATTCGCAAATTGCGGTTGACGCTTAAGGCAAAGTAGGTACTCTATGAAGTAAAGATAACAGTCACATTAAATGCAAAAAGTGCTATCCTTTTTGAACTTAATGTGAAGCCAACGTTTCGGGGCCGTGCAGGGTCCCTTCATCAGGGCAACAACGTGACAGATGAAGAGACTCTGCATGGCCCCGAAACGTTGGCTTCTTGACCTATGTGACGTATCAATAAAAGTGCTATCCTTTTTGCACATTACGAGTGCGTGCTGGTGACTTCTATCTTTACTTGGATTGGTACACGGCGCCATCTATGTCGTCATTTTGAGCACCAACAGACATTTCGATTGGTTCAAGCGCCGTATGGTGTGCAGGTGATTCTTTAACGCTATTTGGTACTCCATGGAGGGCGCCTGTAGGTGCGGGCCTACTCTGCCTAAGGCCCCATTCACAAATTGCGGTTGTCGCGCGATTTGCATTTTGCGCGATTTGCATTTTGCGCGATATCGCGCAAATGGTTGCATTGAGCAACCTAGAATTGCGGCAAAATCCGCTCCAAAAAGGGTCCTGCTGTAGCGACGCACGACGGACCGAGCCCCATTGAGATGCATTGGAGAGCGATATCGCGCGGTAAATACCCGCAATATCGCGCGGTAAATCGCTCAGTGTAAATGGGGCCTAATGGTAAATCCGGCCCTGCCTCTCATTGCAAGCCTTAAAGGAGAACTATGAGGTGAGTGCTTTTCACTCACCTCATAGTTCTAGCCGACCTGTGACAATGAGACTGTCACAGGTCGGCTCAGTAGATCGGGAAGTGAGCGAACACATACCGGCGTTCGCTCACCTCTCAATCCTGTCACAGCTCTCTGCCGTGACAGTGACAGGGGAGGGGCTGGATTCCCCCCTCCCCGCTCTGATCCACCAGTGCTGACTGGCGGAACGGACGGGGGAGGGGGCGGGTACAGCTGGCTCTGCCTCTAGATAGGCAGAGGCAGCTGTCAGTCACGCAGCTGGGCAGATCCCGGCACAATTGTCGGGATCCGCTTCAGCTGCGGTGTCTCTGTATACCGCGAGCTGCTACTGAGCCTAGGGTGACGGGAGGATGCTAGTTTGTGTCCTCCCGTTACCCTAAGGAGAACTATGGGGAAAAGCCTTAACCCCATAGTTCTCCTTGGTCTACGGTCTAAAATAAATAAGATGCACTCACCCGTTCCTCGGCCCAGCTTGGCTGCCGGAACATTTCCCGCAGCCGCTTCTTCGCACGAGTCCCAGCGGTCTAAGGATCCGTGACATCATCATGTCCATTGACTTGCATTGGACGTGAGGACATTGAGGGATATTCCAAAGCCGGGATGATGGAGGGGGAGAGAGGTGACTGAGGTTCAGGTGAGCTTATCTTATTTTATTTTAGACCCCAGACCAGAACGAGCAGTTAACCCTTGCAGCTTGGGGGCAACCCCACTGCAAGGGTTGATTTTTTTTACATGCCAGGAGTTCTTCTTTAAATCTATTTTTATAAATGCAATAAGCTGATTTGTTCTAAAACTATAATATTAATATACTGTACTCTGACATGACCTCTGCACATTGTTCTGATTTATTTTGCTGACTCAGGATCATATGTAGAGCCATTAAAGTGACCCTGTCACTACAGGGTCAAAATGAATCTAAAGCCTTCCTGTAAATAGAAATGCTGTATAATCAACTTTCCATTGGCCCGTGTCTTCAAAATTCTCTGCCTGTCTAATCCCCTGCAGGTACCTGACACTTCCAGGTGTGTAGAACACCTTTGCCCCTGCCACATGTAATGGTTCCTCCCGCCGGCTTGTACATCCTGTAGTAAGATATGAGGCGGCGGAAGGAACCACGGCATGAGGCAGGGGAGCAGGTATTTAACACACCCAGAAGTGTCAGACACCTGCTGCAATGGGGGAGTCAGCAAAGCCGAGGATTTCTCAGGCAGGGTGGGGTTATTATTCCATATCATAGCGGCATTTCTATTTACAGGGAGGCTTTACAGTTATCTTGACCCTGGAGTGACAGGGTCACTTTAATATCAGTCCTGCCCTACCCACGCTGACATTCTAATGTCCTGTAATACATGCACACAGCACGGCCAATCTGGATGGAAACCAATTAACCTTCTAGTGTGCTTCTAAGATGAAAGTGGAACAACCGAAGCAAACCAACAACAGGTGAAAAGATACAAACTCCAAGCAGACAATGTAATTGATGGGAATCAAACCCAACACACAAATGCAGGGGCAAAGCAGTGAATGTGACTTTTACCAAACATTCACTGGTGGTGAATAAATCACTGTCATGTCAAACACATGCACCTGGGAGATTTACGGTGAATGTTTGGTGAATGTCAGATGCCATTGCTTTATAAATATGCCCCAGACTGTGTCCTTATACACCGATATACAGAGGAGAGAAGTCCTATTGTATATATGAGATGTATATACACCGTCCACTGCGTCCTATATACACCGATATACAGAGGAGAGAAGTCCTATTGTATATATGAGATGTATATACACCGCACACTGCGTCCTATATACACCGATATACAGAGGAGAGAAGTCCTATTGTATATATGAGATCTATATACAACGCACACTGCGTCCTATATACACCAATATATAAAATTATATACATTTTAGTTCCCGGCATTGACACAAAATATAACGTGTCAGTGATATAAGATATAAAACGCTGATCAGCCCCTTTACCTTGACGATCACTCTCCGGCGCACAACCTTGGTGGTCAGCGTCTCTTCGTCGTCCTCCGCCCCTCCTTCCCCGAGTTCCCGGTCCAGTTCAGTGTGCAGTCGCTTCAGCACAAACTTTGCCGCTCCTCGTACAATGTGCACCACATTCTGACAGCTCACCACGAAGAAGCCGATCAGGACGATGCAGACGCCTAGCTCCGTCAGAAACCCCCACATCCTTTACAATCTTCTCACCTGCCGGGGATAGCCCCCCCCTTCCTCAAAGAACGAGACCCTAAATAACGCCGAATTCCCGAACCTCCTAACTAAACAACCGTGACGTTGGTGTCTCTGCCCGGTCTGCCGCTCTCATATTCTTCCTTGACTCTACCATGAACGCATAATAACAAAGGTAACAGCGGAGAATAATAGGGATGCAACCGGACACTGGGGATTCGCCAATGTAAGCCAAGGTTAAAAATAACGCACCCCCCTAAGTATCTATTGATCCCAATAAGAGGACCTGCGGACAATAATCCTACTGATCAGCAGTTTGTTCAAGCGGATTCCAAACGTCAACCCTAAAATCAGCAGATGTTGAGGTGCGGGGGCCGGGGGGAAGCCCCGTATGTGTCAGCTCCTGGGAAGACTTCAGGCTGTGTGTCAGCTGTTTGATGAGGAGGGGCTGAAATTAGAGCTAAAGGGAAGGCGGAGGGACACTTAATACCCTTCAAAATTGGACGTCAGGCTGGAAGGCAAAAAAGGTGGTAGAGAAGGGAAGAGTCACCTCAGAGCTGATCTGAAAGTCACTTGGAGCCTGACACTGACACCATAATATGGGGCCCCATGTGCACGAGGGCTCCTGAATGTTCTTGCAGGAATAGATCAGACCCTTAGGAAATGTCTTTTCACCCACTAGCATTCCTTGCAATTCAATGCATGTAGTATGTAGGCATTGATACCTGGTGCTAACTCGCAGAGAAGGCTAGCCATAGGAGGTACGTGATGCGCGGAGGTGATCTGTTTTTTGTGTTTAATGACTACGTGCTGAAGCTGATCATGCAATGCATTACTTGGAGCCCATGTATATATGGATGAATTCAGAGATATTTGAGGTTGTCTGTGCCTTTAGACCTGTTTCTAACCTGAAAAAGAACAAAAGAGAGCGCCTCCATAGTGTAAAAATGTTATTTAATAGTAAAAACACGCAGCTCTAAGGCTGTACTTACAACAGTTCGGTAGAATAAAAACCAGTAGAATAGGGTGAGTGGACGGAACCCCTGGCAGGGAGAATCTGGAGCGATGTAAAACACCAGTAACCTCGATCCCTGTATTGATAAATGGTTAACGCGTTTCTGGGGCACGCCCCCTTCATCAGAACCAAGTTTGCTCCAGATTCTCCCTGCCAGGGGTTCCGTCCTCTCACCCTATTCTACTGGTTTTTATTCTACCGAACTGTTGTAAGTACAGCCTTAGAGCTGCGTGTTTTTACTATTAAATAACATTTTTACACTATGGAGGCGCTCTCTTTTGTTCTTTTTCTCATAGACTGGTGTTCCATCTAATCTGTGGGAGCTGCCTCCACCGTGTTTGCTTTATTTTTACTGCTGGGCTCTTTTTGGATTTGAAGGCACCGGTATTGTTTTGCAATTGCTGTTTCTAACCTAATATATGATCTTCACAGGTAGAAGATAAAATGGGTGAGGACCCGCCATCAACACACTTACCCCTCCCTGCTGTCTTGAACTATATAGTGCTGTGTTCTACCCGGATTGTTATACTACACTTTAGGGTTGGGTGGAGCTCCTCTTATATAGGACCTTTTTTTAACCTAATATATGACCTTCACAGGTAGGAGATGGAGGGGTGAGGAACCACCATCAACACACTTACCCCTACCTACCGCCTTGAACTGTACACAGTGCTGTATTCTACCCGTAACGTCGTACTCCTTATTAGGGTTGGGTGGCACTCCTCATATATAGGACCTGTTTCTAACCATATATATGATCTTTACAGGCAGGAGATGAAGATCTGAGGACCTGCCATCAACACACTTACCCCTACCTGCCGTCTTGAACTGTACACAGTGCTGTGTTCTACCCGTAACGTCATACTACTTTTTAGGGTTGGATGGAGCTCCTCATATATAGGACCTGTTTCTAACGTAATATATGACCTTCACAGGTAGGAAATGAAGGGACGAGGACCCGCCATCAACACACTTACCCCTCCCTGCTGTCTTGACATGTACGCAGTGCTGTGTTCTACCTGGAATGTCGTACTACTTTTTAGAGTTGGATGGAGCTCCTCATATATAGGACCTGTTTCAAACCTAATAAATGATCTTCACAGGTAGGACGTGAAGGGGTGAGGACCCACCATCAACACACTTACCCCTGCCTGCCGCCTTGAACTGTACACAGTGCTGTGTTCTACCCGGATCATCGTACTGCTTTTAAGGGTTGGGTGGAGCTCCTCATATGCCACGGGGGCGCCATTATCATGGTGGGGAGATCGATGCGGAGAAGAGGGTGCGGGGGCCTCGGAAGTCCAGTCCAGGATCCTACAGATGGGAAAGATATGTGCTTAAAGGGAACCTGTCATGAAAAGAGACACACACAATGCCATTGTTGAGCTCACCTCCTGAAAATGATTGCTGCCCACCTGTCGTTTTGATCCAATCGCTTTCCGAGTCACCGGCAAGGGGAAACTATGCAGATTAAAGGTTCTGGCTTTACCTGCTGCCCACATAAGCTGGGCATACACTGGTATATTTTCATATGAATGTTCATACAAAAGATCTCATCAGGTCATTGGATAATTCTATCAGAGACTTGATGAATGTTGTTGGAAATTTAGTTTAACATTTCATTTTGGAATGAATGGAGTTTCTCGAATGAAAACCACATTCATTTTTAGAATGTCATACCATTCTGCTACCTCGATTTTTTCATCACTAAATGATCATCAATTTGACTTCATTAGCTCGTGAAAATTGAACAAATGTTACAAAAATTACCTTTTTCCTAGCAAAATCCTATTGGTGAATGGCCAGCTTTACTCGGGGGCCTGTGAGTCCAAAAGTATTGAGGCCAAAGGCAAACCAGCAATCAATGGTGGCTTCAGGTTTTTCTCAGCTTTCCCCTAATATCACTTGCAGGAATCAATCTAACATACAACATTATACAATTTGGACACATTTGAAACTTTTTAGCTATGACCTTATCAGAATACTTCAGACCTCATGGTCACCTACTGCAAAATAGACCCGTGGAGGAAGAGTAGTCTGGAATTTTGACAGTTTCTATAGCGCTTTAATAATGATAAAACCCCTACGTACAGTATGTGACTACTACAGACTGATATAGCGGATCCTAAAGTGAATATCAATATTTTCTTACGAAAAACAGTTTGCCAACTCCATTTTTTAGATGACAGTGTGTGTCCAGGCCCTTTGTGACTGGATGTGGTCGCACCATGGTTTATGATAGGTGTTCCAGAGATAGGCTGGCCAAAAATACAGATACGCAAGGCAGGATGTCATTGACAGGGGGATGGCAGGCCTTAGCAGAGAGGTGAGGAAGGCCCCTAGTAACAAAGTGAAACTAGATCAGAAGGGCACACCACCTAGGAGGGTTTTGCTTTCTACCAGGGTTAATAGCAGAGATCTTTGGTGTCTGCCACTAGGAAGGACAATTTAAATAACAGTATGACTAGAGAGGGTACAGGTGGGGGGACCACATACATTAAACTTGCCACAGACTCTTGAATGATCCTCCATTCACTTGACAAAGGCAACCTCCTCATTTGCAGATCTAAAAGAATCGTTAATACTCCATAACATGATTGATAAATGCATTATGTGACCCAATATGCAGCAGTATCTGTCCATGTATAATGGCCCCTAGCTCTATAGTAGGGTTGGAAGTGGAGGAACTTCTCATTCTCACTCTCCATAAAGTAGAACTATAATGTCCCCATTAAAAAAAAATATGTGCTGCAAAGTTTTTCTTTTAGTCCCCCTGCAAAGTTCTACAAATATTGGTTGATCCTGCCAGTCAAGTCCACCTAATGCAGCTTCTTGTGATGGTGAGGCAACGATGCTGCACTGCTCCTGAATCCAGAGCAGAGTTACCACTCTCAGACTGTCATAGAGGAGCCCTTAGTTGTACTTTAAATACGAAGGAACTAATATATACAAGTGAAAATGGAGGCGGTGCCAAGAGTAGCCAATCAGATTCCACTTTTCATTGTTCTAGTGCAGGCTAGGAAAATAAACCAAGATTTTGATTGTTGACTAAGTGCAGCTCTTTAATTTTTCCTTTCCTCTTGTCCTTTTACAGAGCTGACAGAACCTTTGGCTCTGTTCCGGTGGACCAGTGTATCCTTGTTTATGGTTATATGGTACTGAGCCATGACTTACCTCTCTACACTACTTCCTGTTACTCTGCATGTGGACGGTGTCTCTGTTATCCGGGCCTGAACCCGTTCTGGTCCTGCAATACATATGAACAAGGTGTTTAGAAACGACTGTCTACTCTCCGAACCTCTCTCACGTTTTCACACCGTCATCTTTAACCTCTGACCTCCAGCTTCAGTCTCCTCCTCCTCCAGATCAGGGGAGCCCGAAGATGGACGCGGCTGGGTATCCCACTCATCCTCAGCCTTGCTGCATTCCAGGGATGAGTCCTCAGGAGCCACAAGGGAAGGGGACAGGCCAGAGGCCCATAGTGGCAGGTCGGGTAGGTCCAACACCCCATCGGGCTCCGCGGTCGCCATGGGGACTCCATCCAAAATGGACACTTCACTCCAGTACTGATCCATGCGTAATGGGGAGGGTAGGGAGTAGTTGAGAGAGGCCGGGGAAAGCAGCTCATCTTGCATCAAGGGGTGACCTGTGGGAGGGGAGGGTGGGGAAGGGGGTGTCACAGCCACTCATTCCAAAAAGCAGTAGATGCAATTATTTCCCACAACTGCCAATAACACAATTTAATGTGAAGATTCTGCTTCTCAGTCAACCCAATGCCTAATATCCCATGTACTAATGTAAATATCCTGAAACTAAGTAAATGAGATTCTAGTGCGCCCCTTCTCTACATTGTTCATGTACAATGCGATGTTCTTCAGCATTAGCGTGCTTTGGTGCCATTATGGCAAGTGGAGGTGTCATGTCCGTTGAGACAGCAGAATTCTGAATAAAACAATAGACAAGGTATGAGACTTCCAATTGAAATCCAAACCTACTGTTATCTACACTGGGCCTCATGCACAAACACTGAAAAAGAAAATGCATGTAGATGCATTGCTGTATAACCAATCAAATGCTCTATCTCAATCTCTAGGAAAATAGAAATCAGCTCACCTGGCTAATACAATGTCAGGACAGTAGATTGCAGAGAAGTCACCAACACTTCAATGAAGGTGAAATAACCAGCTTGGATTTATTCAAAAACACTACAAAGCATAAAATATCCAACACGTCGGGGCTGCGCTGGGTTCCCTTCCTCAGGGAAACATAGACCCTGACATAGGAAGTTAATAATCAGCTCACCTGGCTGGTGCAATGTTAAGACTGGACCACAACAGGTGGTGCACAGCAGCAACTTCTCTTCAAGTGCAAGTAATACACGTCCCATAAAAAGTCGTCATCCAAGCTTGAACGTATTTTCAAGCTTTTATTACAGCATGATAGATCTTTAAACTTTAGCTCTAGTTTAAGGCCAGTATTGGAGAGCGTCTGGCACTGGTGTCCTCTCTATCTAACATGATGTAATAAAAGCTCAAAGATTGGATCAAGTATGGATTCTGACTTTTATGAGGCCATTGTATCAGCAGCCATTTGTAAATGAAGTTATAATGAATTTGCTCGCTCCAAAGGGCCCGAGTCAACGGACTTCACTTCAAGCTGGTTTTACATTCCCATGAAGCCTATGAGAATGCAAAACCTGCTTGATGCAGGTCAAATGCAGGTCAGAAGAAAGTCAACAGCAGATCAAATGCACCTGCTAATGAAATCTGAATGAAGCATCTCTAACTGATGCCATCAACACAAACCCAAAGCCCATTGACACAGATCCTTACAATGCACCATAAAGGGGCGTTCTGGGACAAATCAAAATTAGACACCTGCCTTTGACTCCTCTCTACTGTCTTAATGTGCCATACTATGATGCTTAATAAGCCATAGTATGCTTAATGATATGACTCTTAATAGGCCATAATTTGACTCTTAATAAGCCATAAAATGCTGAATAATATGACTCCTAATAAGTCATAATATGACATTTGCTTAACGATCAACACAATGATGTAATGGTACTTATGGACAGTAAGCAGAGCCACAGGCAGAAGCATTGAGTTGCCGAACTTGGCTCTAGAACAAATTATGTCATCACGGATGAGGAGTGATGATGCCACAATGTTCTTACTTGCCATATCACCTCTTATGTGTATCTGGAGCCTCTGTATGTTATTACTGATCATGTAGAGGTTTCTGTTGACTTCGGCTCACTGGAAAGGTCACTGGAAGTCTCTTGACGTACAGGAATAACATACTGAGTAACCTAATGCCCTCGAGTGGGTACAGGGTGTTGCTGCCCAGGTCCATTCTAGCCTTAAGACCACAGGGACCCCATTGCACCCCCTGGTACTCTCTCAAAGGCTGCAGATGAATGGGGTGGTTTCAATCCTGGTAATGTTAATTGTGCAATGTTGATGTTGTGCAAAACTGTCAGTAGCTGGGTTCCGAATTGATCTCATTCCAGAAAACCTCTATAAAGACAGTCGTATATTTCATTTTCTCAGGTACACAAGACACATTTAACCGAAATCACGCCAGTTTTGTTTATGTTGTGGATATAATGGAGTGAGAGAGCTCAGCTCTAGGTTCCTACTTACAGTAGAGATATATTAGGGACACAGCCCTATATAGAGTGTGAGCTGCTGAATGTGCAGGCGGCCGAGGCCCCCTGTCACCACTTGCTTACCCAGCTGTCTGAGCCATCTCAGGAGTGACAGACACCCTGCCACGTGTCGCACCCTGTCTGCTGCTTTTGGAAACATGAGACCCCCAGAAGAGACAAGGCAAGAGGGGCCGCTGCAAGACAAAATCTACCATGTCCCCAGACATCAATGTTACTTAGACATTCGAGTGTTAGAGATCACCATAGATACTCAGCCAACAGTGGGTAAAAGAAAGCAGAGATTACTGGCACAAAACCACGACCCACAAAGACACAGGTCACAACACTCGTGCACATGCACACAAAGACACAGAGACTGACAAAGGCAGGTTTAGTACAGGGAGACCTCTGTTCTGCTGACTATCCCTCTGCAGAGGTAATCTAAAGATATTAATGTGCACAGATGAACCTCAGAGGTCATTTACCATATGGCATGGCACTGGAGCCCTTCCATGGGCTTTAAATACCCTTGTCTTCCTCTGTCAAGGTTTTGTTATGTTAGTGTAAAAAACTAATGCAGGTTTATATTTTGTTACCCTGACAATCTGGAAAAAGATGTTTGCGGCTTAGCAAAAAGTATGAAACCCAACCAGAACCCTATTTATTTATTACAGCAATCTATATAGCACCAATAATTTATACAGTGCCTATTTACATCAGTTCCTACCCTCGAGGAGCTTACAATCTAAGGCCCCTATCTCACAAGCATATGTACACATATAGGGACCAATTTAGACAGGAGCCAATTAACCTTCCAATATGTCTTTGGAGTGTGGGAGGAAAACAGAGTACCTGGAGGAAACCTATACAAGCGCAGGGAGAGCATGCAAACACCATGAAGATAGTGTCTTGACCAAAATTCAAACCAGGAACCCCCAGCATTGCAAGGCAGAAGTGCTAACCACTAAGCCACTGTGCTGACCCCGTCTGCAAGGAGTTTGTTTGTTCTGCCTGAGCTTGTGTGGGTTTCCAACGGGTATTTCGGGTTCCTCCCACACTCCAAAGACATGCTGGTAGGTTAATTGTCTCCTGTCTAAACATGTGAGATAGGGACCGAACATTGTAAGCTCCTTGAGGTCAGGTTCTGATGTGAACGGACAGTATGTAAATCGTTGGCGGTATATAAATGCCTGTAATTGAAAAATTGCAGTGCCGAGACCCTGAGCAGATTGGATCATCAGCATAAGATTAGCATCCTAGGTCACAGAAAAGCTCCATGACAGTTGATGCTCATTGAGCAAACCAATGGGCTTTTATTTCAATTTCAGCAATGATGTATAGCAGGGGTAGGAAAACTCCGGCCCTCCAGCTCTGGTGCAACTTCAAATCTCATAAGGAACTGCAAGGCTCTGACAGCCACAGACATGACCCCCAGAGGCAGAGGCATGGTTTCATCACAGCTGGAGCGCTGGAGTTTGCTACCCCTGGTGTACGGAATCCCATATTAGCCACAATTTAGATTTCAACTCTTCTATATAGCCAGGTAAAAGAAAGATCATTTGTAATTGGCTGCAACAAGTAGCTGCAATCTGCAATTGCTCTTCATGAAAGGTGCTGCTTTCAATAGAGTTTATGCAGTGCCTGGGATAACCAAAAGTCTCCACGGACATATTGAGTTAAAGAGGATTCTGGTATCAAATACAGGTCATGGCAGCTCGGCTAACCTTGCCATACTTGTGCTTACACCTGACCTGGGATGAAACCTCAGTCATACCTTCAATGAACCTGCCAGGGAATGCAGTAATTCTATGAACATGACTACCCCCCACCATGCTTTATAAAACTTGGCCTTAAAGCCTGATTTTTCAGTGGGTCGCCGCATGTCTTCCACTTTTCTAGGCGAGAGGCTTCTTAGCCTCCCCCTAGCGCAGCGCTGTCAGTACTAGTGCTGAGCAGCCATTCAAAATATGCTGCCCGGTGCCGAACGTCGACTTGAGGTGGGCTGGGGGGTATGGCCGTGAGCAGGGGCGTCCCGAGGCTGGGTGACACCCGGAGCGGTAACCAAGTGTCACCCCGCCGAGAAGTCACTGCGCATGCGCGTGACGTCACCATGCACGTGCGCGATGCCGTCATCGCACACGCGCGTCAGTATGCTTATACCTGCCGGCGGCCATCTTGGTGATGGACGCCGGCAGAGAGAGATGGGGACAGTCACCCAGCGGGATAAGGTATGCCGCCGGGTACCCTCCTCTCTCCTGATACTGTCGGGCGTTCGGTCCATGACCGAGCACCCGACTTTTCAGAGGGGGGTGACACCAAAATGACTGTGAGTCATTTTGGTGTCACCCCCTCCAATGGTGGCACCCGGGTGGGGGCCGCACCCCCCTTGTGACGCCACTGGCCGTGAGGAAGCTTATGTCTTCCTCACATGTCCTGTAGAGGTGCCTGGACTGACGTCACATTCTGGCTCCTGTCACCTCTACAGGACATGCAAGGGAGCTGTGCAAGCAATGCACATATGGATGGAGCTCCATCACAGCACAGCTGCCCTCACTGCCGTGCCTTCCATTGCAGTGCAACTTGGGTTGCGACTTAATGACCGAGGACAAATGTGGGTCCTGAGGTTACACCGGTTGAGAACCACTGTCCTAAGGGTAATGGGAGGACACAAACTAGCGTCCTCCCGTCACCCAAAGCTCAGTATACCGCAAGCTGCAGCTCGCTGTATATTGAGACAACGCAGTCGGAATGGATCCCGACAATTATGTCTGGATCCACCCAGCTGCGTGAGTGACAGCTGGCTCTGCCTATGTAGAAGCAGAGCCAGCTGTACCCGCTCCCTCCCTCGTCCGTTATGCCAGTCAGCACTGGAGGAGCGGGGAGGGAACCCTGCAGGGCGCTGTGAGTGACAGTCACGGCTCTCTGCACGGATAGATGGAGAAGTGAGCGAGCGATGGTATGTGTTCCCGATCTACTGAGCCCACGTGTGACAGTTTCATTGTCACAGGTCGGCTCAGATTATGAGGCTGAGTGAAAATCACTCGCCTCATAATTCTCCTTTAAGAGGCCCAATAGGTGAATGGACCAAGGAATGTCCATTAGACCCTACTAACCATTAGAATTGAAGGTTCCAAAAATGTATATGTAACTTTGTACAACTGAATGAAGATCAGTTTTTCATTGGACCTGCAGAAATTGGTGATACCTTGTAAACACTCGCATTACTTGAACTGGTAAATGACCGCTGAGCTCTAGGTGTGCACATTCTGATGTGATGGGAATGCATTTGTCATCTTACAATTAAGAGTAACATTTGGCACAGATGTGCTATAATGAAAACTATCCTTAGACAAGAAGGGAAAGTGTCACAACCAATCACCTATAATGTATGTAGAGCTGTGTCTGATCATGGCATTACATGTAACTAAGAATAGGAGGGTTGGCAAGGTAGTAAAGGAAATCTAAGCATTATATAGATACAGTGAAGGGAAATTATCAAAACGGGAGCAGTCAAAATCTGGAGCAGCTGTGCACGGCAACCAATCAGCTTCTCTCTCTCATTTTCAAATCTCAACTGAACAAACTAAAGAGAGAAGCTGATTGGTTGCCATGCACAGCTGCTCCAGATTTTGTCTGCTCCAGTTTTGATAAATTCCCCTCTCTGTGTCTTCATACTTTGGTTGGTACATTGGGAATGGCTACTGTGAGGACTTGGCCATTCTAAAAATAGTATGACTAAAACAATGACACAAAATGCCAAATGGCTGGCCAGGGGGAAAGACTTTTCCTATTATAATAAATACAGTGGGGGGAATTTATCAAAACTGGAGCAGACAAAATGTGGAGAAGTTGCCCAGGGCAACCAATCAGCTTCTCTCTTCAGTTTGTTCAGTTAGGATTTGAGAATGAAAGAGAGAAGCTGATTGGTTGCCCTGGGCAACTTCTCCAAATTTTGTCCGCTCCAGTTTTGATAAATTCCCCTCAGTGTGCGTCCATCTTCATAATAAAGCAGTCCACGTTCCTTGTTGCCCTCTTCTTTATAGCCCAAGGGTAGGCAACCTCGGCACTCCAGTTGTGGTGAAACTACAAATCCCATGAGCCACTGCAAGACTGACAGCCATAAGCATGAATCTCAGAGGGAGAGTCATGATGGGATCTGAAGTTTCACCACGGCTGGAGTGGCGAGGTTGCCTACGCCTGATCTACTTTTTGGCGAAGCTGAGAATGCTCCAAATATTTATACTATCCCATACTATTCCCTTCCAGCTTAGGTAATTGGAATACTCTTCCTATTGGGGTATGTAGAGACCAATGATATTGTTGTTAACAATGTTACTATAAATATACATATGATATATAATAGAACATCATTTTGTTACTTTGTTGCACTGCATGCTTCTAATGAACTTTAAACTTTTTGTGTATGGTATTAAATGGACCGTGCATTGCATATGAATTCACATTTACATGTAAAAGGATATGCAAAATGTTATTCTCATTGCAAAATTATTTAAAGTGGAACTCTAACCAAAACATTGTTCTTTGGAAGTTTTTGAGCCATGTTTTCAAGTAGAAGCATAGGCTAACATCCCGAGGCCGGGTGTCATCTTATTAATAACTGCCAGCAGCCATCTTGGTGATGGACGCGGGCAGAGAGAGATGGGGATGATCACCCGGCCGGCATAAGGTATACCGCGGGGTCATCTCCTCTCTTCTGAAACTGTCAGGGCTCTCTGTCCATGAGCGAGTGCCCGACTTTTCAGAGGGGGGTGACACCAAAATGACTGTCGGGCCACACCCCCCCCTTGTGACATCAATGCCCCCTGCTGTTCTTATACATGTATATATTTATATATATATATATTTCACTCTTCTTCCAGACAGTCATGTGACCGCGAAGCTCCTGCGAGCCCAACAACGGGGCAGAATTATAGAAATCTGTGACGTCACCCACCGCTGGGGTGGGGATGTGTGTGGGAAAAGAGTTCCCTCCACCAGCAGCGGCAACCGCTCATTGCTCATTCAACATGGAGAAACTGGAGCTTCGCTGTCACATGACCAATAAGAAGAGGTGTAAAAGATTTGCAAAGAGATTTTTTTAACTGTATGCAGCTTGTGGGGGAGGCATGGCATTATTTTTGCCTCAACTTCTACTTAAGTCCCAATGAGGAGGTTTTCCCACCACTCGCTGTCCTGCCCGTCCCCACTTTATTAATAAAACAAGACTTACTTCTGTCTGTGTCCCCATTGGACAGATTCTCCTTGCTTTTTATTGCAATTGACACAATAGGACGTGAAGGGAAATCTCCCAGGAACTAAAAGTGCATTAAAACAGAGGTTGCAGGCCATTTTTTTTTTTTTATTCTACCCAAACCAAGGAAAATTAAACGTTTGGGCTGGAGTTCCACTTTAAGCAAAAGGTTTCCATCTCTAGTGCCGTAACATCAATGTCGTGTGATATAAAAACTACAATGTGTGTTCTGTATGACTAGGCAGGCTGCAGAGATACAGGCATCCCTCAGGACAAGGGTGGTGGGATTGAGGATGAGAGAGAGACACCTGGTCCTGACTGAAAGAGGGGGGGAACAGTAGCATGAGGAGGTCAGAGGTCAGAGGTGAACGGATAAGCTCAGCCAAAGAGTGAGAGAGAGGGAGAGAGAAAGAAAGAGAAAGGAGAGAGAGTGGGTGAGACAAACACACATTGAGTCCGGTTCCCCCCCCACCCCCAGTTATTGTGATGGGACGGATGGGAACCAGTTAGAGGTTAGGAAAGGGAACATTGATCAGAGTGGATTGGAGCGGGAAATCCAAATCCGTTCTCAATGTCATGGAGAGAGAGTAAAGGATGCAATTCTACAAGGATACTGTAATGTGCAAAAACCTTCTTCTGGTATACAGACATTACTCTACAAAGACTAGACAGCTACGGGGGGAACTGAATGCATATTATTTAAAGCTAAGGTTTAATCCGCTTACATTTTGCCCTCCCTGGTTCCTCCTTCTCCCTCTTCATCAACAAGCTAATGACATTAAAACAAATCTTTGCATTTTCATTGCATACCTTATTTTAGCCCCGGTGATGTCATCACTGGGGCTCTGTGCAATGCAGCCTGCATTGCACAGAGCCCCATTGATGACATCACCGGGACTAAAATAAGGTATGCAATGAAAATCATGGCTGGAGGGAGGTGCCATGTTATGATGTCATCATTGGGCTCTGAGCTTCTCTGTGCAATGCATGCTGATCATGGCTGTTGGGAGGTGCCATGTTATGATGTCATCACTGGGTTTTGAGCTTCTCTGTGCAATGCATGCTGATCATGGCTGTTGGGAGGTGCCATGTTATGATGTCATCACTGGGCTCTGTGTTTCTCTGTGCATTGCAGGCAGATCATGGCTGGTGGGGTGGGGGGCTCGCAGAGTGCCGTACATAGCTTTCTGAAAGCATCACAGCACCCTGTCTCATTAGTCCTCTCAAGAACCCTCAGCCCTGATGCAACTGGTGGGCGGGCTCTTGGGAGGAGTTATGCAAATATCACCATACCTTGATGGGTTAAGGTCGGCCTGGAGGAATGGGCATTCCTAGGTAGACTGTATTTGAATGCAGAATGCCCACATGTGATGAAGAGTCTCCAGGATTGAAATAACTTAAATCCAATGAGTGTACGGGGAGGGGCTAGGGGAGGAAAGGGCTAGATCATGTTGGATGTCCTCCAGCCAAGAACACTGGCACTTACACTAACACTGACCCTTACACTAACACTGATCCGTAGACTAACACTGCTCCTAATCAGATGATTGTTGCTCACTGTGTGTTTAGTCATTCACTGGCCAATAAGAACAATCAACTGCCCAAGTCTTCCCCCACACCAAGGCAAGGGTGTCTGCACGGCGTATAAACATGTACGGTCAGCTAATCACGAAGGATTGTGGATCTGCAGATTGCTGTTGTATGTCTACGGGGTCTATTTTTAACAATCTGCAGTATGTATTGTGTATGGCCACTAGACGGCGCTGAGGAGCAAATGAAAGAATCACTTATTAATAGGAAATACTTATTTCTTATGCTCCATCTAGTGGCCACAATATATTATTACAACAACACACTACATTCGAACTGGGAAACGTATACTAAGAACGTTATTTTTTGTAATTTTTCCCCCAAAATGAACTGTCACTGCTATTGACAGGGTGCCCTGCAAATTGTTTATAAATAGGCCCCCTATGTGTCACTTGTAGGGCCCATTCACACCAGGTTCATTTGAATACGTTCATCAACACATTCTAGACAATAGAACACCAATGTGTTGCGTTGATGCGTGCCAATAGAATGCAATGTCTGTGACTGTGACTCATTAAAAATAAAGGGTAAAAAAGGGTTTTTGGGTAAAAAAAAAAAAGTGGCAGCTCATACTGTATATGAAAATGCCAAATGCAGGTAAATGCAGCATTTTCTGCACATTTTTCAGTGCGCCGTGGTGTGAACGGGCCCTACAAACCCTATTTAAGTAACTGGGTACCAAGTACTTACCTGACTTTCCTTCAAGGAAACCTTTGATTAGAAAACCATGGAGGATGCCATTGTTTTTTTTTTAGGTGCAGTATAACTTTATTGCAGTTTTGCATTTTAATTTATTTTAAATGACTCACCCCCTTCTACTAATACTTCCTGGGGACATTACTATAGCTGGGATGCCAATGTCTACACTGCACAGTGACCTCTGCTGGTGAGCTCGTGTAAATACAGCATCTGATCTTTTCTGCCAATGGCTGGCAATCCAATTCTATCTTTCCATCTTCACTTTAGATAAGTCCCCATTCTTTTAAGGCTCCCCACACCAACTGTGCCTTGTTAAATATTGATGAATCCAACCGAAGTGTAACTGAATCCTAATTAGCACCGTGTATCTTGACGTACCTGGTGAGGACCCCCATGGGAGCGAACCATTCCTCTGAGAGGGGGAAATAGATCCGTCGCTGTTTGTGTATCGGTAATCTCCCTTTGAACCTCTGCTCTGCCGCCCGGATCCCTCCAGCATGGTGACAATCTCACTGCGGTCAATGTTGCGCAGAGCCGTGTATAAATCTTCCACTGCGAGGGCGAGCAATAAAATAGAAATGTGAAATAACAAAGTGTTAAACATTGTTCTACAAAAATCATCGGCCTGGCTTCTTTGGTAAACCTGGCGGAGTTTCTGGAATTCTACTCTGCAAGGAACGGAGTATTTACAACATTCAAACAAGGCAAGATGTAGACTGGACATCTGTACATAGTATCAGCCGTTCCTAGTGAGACCTCGAAGCCTGAGGAGCACTAAGGAGGACCAACTACAACCCCTGATACAACTTTTACATATAATTCCTCATTTACAGGTTTCACTTACAATATGGAAAAGATATATAATGTGTAATTCTTCCCGTGATCTCCCGAGTTGGCTCTACTCTACCTCAACTTAAAAGAGAACTATGGGGTCAGTGCTTTTCCGCATAGTTCTCCTAAGGGTCACGGGAGGACTAATACTAACCTCCTCCCATGACCCAAAGCTCAGTATATCGCGAGGTACATAGCTCACTATATACTGAGAATGCTGCAGCCGGGACGGATCCCGACATTGCTGTCGAGATCCACCCAGCTGCGTGAGTGACAGCTGGCTCTGCCTATCTGGAGGAAGAGTCAGCTGTACCCGCCCCCTCCCCTCCTTTAATGTTCTCCTTTAATGTCCCCTAGGGCCAAAATGACCCAGGCCTCCACTGCTGTAGGCTAATAGGTAGGAATGACCTCAGTGAGTCAGGTTGGGGTCTTCATGTGTGATAAGGATAAGGGTTGTTCTTTCTGTGACACATTTAATCTAGGAGGTGTCCCCGGAAAATGTTCAGCCTCGATGGGTGGCATTGATGGTACCTACATTTTGCGTTAGAAGCTTGCCGCGATGCCCAAAGATGCAGTAAGGCCGCACTCTGCTCCAACAAGGAGTTGGGGTTCTCCACTCGAATCCTGTTGATGTCATCCATCTCGAACTGCAACTCACGAGCCAGTTCTGTGAACAGGACAAGGTCACATTGGTGACTTATGGCCATGTCAGGCTAAAAGATTCACATATTATGCTTTTACACAGTTGTAAAAATATGACACAATGCATAGCCACGATTAATATGTACATTATTAATGAACTGAGAATTACATAGTTAATTTTACTTAAGCCATTATCTGTGGTATTAGTATAGCTGATTATTATACTGCCGTCTTGTGGTCATTTTGGTTATTGCACCACGTTTTCTGTGTCCCCCTCCCATTTATGATGTATTTCCCCCCTTCTTCTTTAGTTGTGGTCTTCTGGCATCAAAATGGCTGACTGTAACATGGCCACATATTAATCTGCTTGCATGCTTGGAAACATTACCATCTCTGACCTTCAAATACAGTCTATGCATTAATCTGCTGTATTCTGTTGTCTGCTGCATGCAATAAAGCTCACCAAAGGTATATTTGGTGAGTTCAGCTATCTGAGTCAGAATACATATCATCAAAATACATGAAAGCCTTCATCATATAAATATTTTAAAAGTGACACTAAACTCAGGAGTTACATCTTAACAATACATTTAATTCCCTTAACTATTAACAACAATGTATCCTATTTGTGTATCACTCGGCTGTAGATCCTCCAATCATCTCTGAATTGGTGCTGACACTGTCCTTCCTTCTGGAGGGGGCTACTTTTGTTTCCCATGGTCCCTGTGTGTGTTGTAAAGTAGTCACCGCTTTTCCCCCCCCTTTATTTTCCCCTGAAAGTCCTTGGAATAACACACTCCCTGTCCTGGGGAGCCATGGTTGTCACTAGGCTGCTTCCCCAATGCGGACTACAAACACATCTTCCTCTCTTCATCTCCATTACATGTAAGGATGGTCTATTTATTAACAATTTGCAAGGCCATTCTCCCTGCAAATAAGTGTAAACAATCGTTATGTGCAGATAGTTGCTAACACCTCCGGGACTTCTCTAGAGTCTCTCCCATTCTCTGGAACTCTTTTCCCCAACCTGTCCGACTAGCTCCCACACTGAATGCCTTTAGGCGATCCCTTAAGACTCATCTCTTCAGGGAAGCCTATCCCACCTCAACCTAACCACTCAAAGCTCAATTTCTCAAACAATTCATCCCCACACAGCCAATGTTAGGGCAGAACGGAGAGTGGCAAGACTGGTACAAGACAACAGAAGGGTAACAGTGCCGTGTCAGATTCCTCGCATCACCTTTCACCATCTCGTGGAGTCACGAGGCGGCCCAACGAAGTACTGATGGGGTGGTCATAATAATCTGGCCACTCAGTGTATAAAGAGCATTCACAGATATTCAAAGGGGGAACGGCCCTGCAAATTGTTTATAAATAGTCCCCACACTACTAGCCTCTTCCAAAAACACCTACATACCCTGGCACAGATCCTCAGTACAGAGGCCTACAAATAAACTCAACCTGCTTTATAATTGGTTAATGAATCTTCATATATTTCCAAAAAGGAACAACCAAATACAAGAAACACTATTGTGCTGGGAGAGCTCAGACCCCACACATCCAAGTGGCGGATAATGACACATGGCAGACAAGATAAGGGGACCGATGACAGCAATGAAAGCCTACAAGTCATAGGTGATAACGGCGTGGGAAATGTGAAAGTAATACAGTCCTTAATTACATCGGAAGGAGATACAACAGCTGGATTAAGTGGCTATATTCCCAGCTATGTGAGAACGATGTGGGATAGCTCCATATTCCCCACAAGCACATGTAACATATACTTTCATCTTGTGAATACTGTTAGACATATGGTACATGATCAAGGAAATCTTTGATTATCCATCTGTCACTACAATTCAACTTCTTTTAACAGGCCAAGCTGTCCATTAGTGACAGAGGGTTGGGGCGAACCTGGGGGGGGGGGAGGGGGGCTTACAATGTTCAGCTTTTATTTCTTTATGGAAAACCTTTATCCCAAAAGGAAAGGCTAAGTCACTGTAACTGCTTCAAAAGTGTCATCTGGAGTTCATATTTCATTTATTAGTCAAGTCCTTCTAAATCTGTTGGTGCATCTAACACCATTCTCCCCCCAGGGTGACAATGCTGCTTTCCAAGGATGGCTCCGTTGCTCCTCCATAGAGTGGAGCCACCCTAAGGCTGGTCATACACCTATAGGTTATCTGCAGATTTTCTATGGTTAGATGGAAAAAGTGCAACAGATTCATCCACCTACGCTAAACTGTGCGGATGGAGGAATCTCCCAGTGGGCCAAGCTTCAGTAGCTTTCTAGTCGGCCCCCCTCTGGCTCTCAAAACACCTGAACAATCTGATTGGATGCAAGCACTGTTCAGATTGATTGATTGGCCAGGAAGCCGGCTCCATGCTCCCTTGTCACCAAGTAACGAGGAAGCATGGAGCCAGCTTCTCAGTGGCGTGTAATGACTCGCTGCCTGGCTTCCTGATACCGGAAGCTCAGGTAACGGGCCAGGCCTCGGTGCATTTGGGAAAGTACGAGTACTCGCCCCAAATACTCAGTATCGGCACCGATACAGCAACATTGGCAACAAACTGTTTGAGATTAACTCCATTACAAAGACTAGAGGCCACCACCTAAAGTTGGTGGAGAAAAAATTCAAGCACAAGGGGTGAAGAGGGTTCTTCACAGTAAGAGCGGTTAAGGTCTGGAACTCACTGCCATCGGCAGTGATTTCAGCCAAGAGTGTAGATATGTTCAAGAAACTTTTGGACAATTTCTTGAGGGACCGTAATATCCAGGGATACCAGTATCCCTAAGAATGAGATGATGCGTGGACCTATATGGGTTGGACTTGATGGACGTATGTCTTTATTCAACCCCAAATACTATGTAACTATGTAACTATACTTATACTAGTATCGCTGCCTCTCTAGTTAGAAGCCATGTTTTTTGTTTTTTTTTGCTGTCTCCACTGGAGAGATTCAACTTTTTTTTTAGTCCTGGTGACCAAGTTGCAGTAAATCCATAAATTCCATAATCCGCTGTCTCCAGAACAGGAGGTAACACTGAGACAGGAAGTGAATGGTAATCTCCTTCACAGAACTCTGACAGCAATCAGGAACCACTGCCCACTTGATCCAAATTTTTGGAAGAAAAAAACTTTTGGCAGATACACTTCAAGAACTAGGAAGGAGAAGGGGGTGGGGGGGGGGGAGGGGGTGAGACATCTATTGTCTGTCACATACAATGCTGTTTTCACACCTCTCTCGCAGGTTATTAACACTTCCTAGCTCCAATTGTGCAAATGCAATCAACACCTGGCTGTGACTAACAGGTTATGTGGATTGGAGCAACATTCACCGTATTTTTTTCCAGAGTCATTCCAAATTGAGAAAGTTGTTTGGATGACCAGTGAAACATCTTCAAGAAAAATACAGTTGCTTTGACTCATTTTTTACAGATATACCATGACCTGGATGAATAAGAACCTTCACAGACATCTGTATGTAGTGTTACTGTTAGCTGTATCTTGGACACTTTGTCTTTGGTCTTAAGAGTTGAAATGGATTAAATGATGTTCATGTGACCCAAGATGTGACAAAGTTAAAGGATCTGTTTATTCTTGGCATTGTAATGATCTTTTTGTTCTGTTAACTCTCCAAATTGCCTCATTGTGGCAAACACAGGTCTCCCGTTTTCATCCAGTCAAGAAACAGTGTGGACAGAGGATCTGTTCCTGTATAGGGATCTGTTCTTCTACATGTACAAGTAGAATAATTTGTTTCCCTATTTTCAGAGGACCAATGGACCAAATATGTCTATGTGAAGTTCGCACAAGGTAATCTAATCTCTCCTAATATGCTGGACATGCCATCCTACACTGGAGTTAACATTGCAGTAATAATAGTCACACCGCCTTGTCCATCAGGGCTATTTCCTCTATAGAAACAGTGAAGAAGTATAACACAGAAGGTTTTGGTGAAGAGGGACAAGGCAAACCAAAAAGCCCTTCAGTGAACCAGTGTGAAGCACAGGAGAGACTTCTTAAAGGAGAACTATGGGGTTAAGGCTTTTCCCCATAGTTCTCCTTAGGGTAACGGGAGGACACAAACTAGCGTCCTCCCGTCACCCTAGGCTCAGTATACCGCGAGCTATAACTCGTGGTATACTGAGACGCCGCAGTGTACAATTATGCCGGGATCCGCCCAGCTGTAAGCAGAGCCAGCTGTACCCGCCCCCTCCCCCTTCCGTTCCGCCAGTCAGCGCTGGCGGATCGGAGCGGGGAGGGGGGAATCCAGCCCCTCCCCTGTCACGGCAGAGAGCCGTGACAGGATCGAGAGGTGGGCGGACGCCGGTATGTGTTCGCTCACCCCCCGATCTACTGAGCCGACCTGTGACAGTCTCATTGTAACAGGTCGGCTAGAACTATGAGGTGAGTGAAAAGCACTCACCTCATAGTTCTCCTTTAAGCTTTTCACATGTATGTTCACATTCCATAACATATCCCAAAAATAAGAAGATTTTTCATAATTTCGAGGCTAGTGGGCAGAGCTATACAAATTATTCCTTTGTGCCCCTTGGCTAACTGTACATCCAGTTGAGGTTTAGCACAGATGCAGCCAAATATTATAGAGACATGTATTCCAAACCGCATATTGTTGGCCATCAGTGAAGGGTATGGAAACCATGGCTCCAATGGAGAAGGTTACCAACAAGAAAGTGTAACCCAGTAGCGTATTGTAAGGTGGGACAAAAAGAACCTCACCACTGAACCAGTGTGTAGCACGGTGGAGCTTTTGTAGAAAAAACGGCCTCTTGGATCACTGATGAAGGCTGTCTGAAGTATGATTCTCATCTTGACCCTGGCCACTAACTCTCACATGATCTGTCTGCACATGTACACGGGTGGCACTTGAATTCTGTGATGTAGCACCACCATCATAGCAATATTTTCCTAGATGTACAGAAGCAGATGGACTGGTCTTGGTTAGAAAGACAGGAAATGGCACCCATAAGCCGTGCCTGGAATGAAGAACCAAAATGCCCCTATTTTCAGTCCTAGACACACATTGCCTTCTCAATGTGATCATTCCAATCTGAAACTAAGCACAGCAGGTGCAAGCAAGGAAATAGCGGTTTGCCAAAACAATGGATAGCAGCAAGCACATTGCATAAGCCTAAGCCACCTTATTTAGCCCAGAGATGCAGACAGGGTCAGATTTCCCACAAGGCCGACCAAGGCCCGGCCTCGGGGCAGCAGGGGTGTGGAATTCCTATTTCCCAATGGTAGTTGTTTTCTACATTTAGCCCTGCTTTGGGCAAGCAAAGCTATATGTACAGCTGCAAAGTCACCGCTTGTTTTGTACAAGTGATCTCGGCGACATTGTGTGCAGCCTGCAGGTCTTCAATTCTCCATGGGGAAGGGGTTGGCGGGTAGGGGGCGCGTTGAGGAACCTGGCCTTGGAGCAGCAGAGAAAGTAAATCTGGCCCTGGATGCAGAAATGTATCTAATTCTGGATGGACCTAGTAACGTCAGATTACATAATTCAGTTTTTGTACTTACCGGCCCAGCTGAGACCCAAATGCTCTGATATTACAGCCATCTTCATGTCAATGCGGTCAGTTCCACTAAGAGAACCTAGGATGATAGGAAGATAGAGGAGACGTTGAAGAGACATTGTAAAACAAGTAATGGTATGGGAGAAGTCCAAGAAAGAAAGAGGGAAGTGCACAGAGCAACGATGGTGGGTAAAGTACAGGGACCCATGGGGGCCAATCAAGTCATGCCACTGAATGTAGAGCAGTGAAAGAAGATATCCTATGTATACAATTGTGATGCAAAGAACAGACATAATAACATTTAATTTTATCAAATCACTTCTATCCCCAATCACCTTATGTTTGCTATTAAAGCTGAAGTGTGGGCTTACCCGTTATTAGAGTTAGCTTGGTTTTAGGTAGGCACCAATAAGTTGATCTCCATGCTCTAGCCCTGACTGTCAGATTCCCTACCGGAAATTCAGCAGTAGCATCCCTGGCAAAGTTGTGAACACATGCTTAGAGGTACCATAGTAGTATCTAGCTAATGCCCCAAGAAAGTTTTAGCTCACACTTCAGCTTTAGGCCTAAAGGAGAACTATGGGGTTAGGGCTTTTCCCCATAGTTCTCCTAAGGGTCACGGGAGGACACAAACTAGCGTCCTCCCGTCACCCAAAGCTCAGTATACCGCAAGCTACAGCACGCGGTATACTTAGACGCCGCAGCCGGGAAAGGATCCCGACAATTATGTCTGGATCCGCCCAGCTGCGTGAGTGACAGCTGGCTCTGCCTATCTAGAGGCAGAGCCAGCTGTACCCGCCCCCTCCCCCGTCCGTTCCGCCAGTCAGCGCTGGAGGATCGGACAGGGGAGGGGGGAATCCAGTTCCTCCTCTGTCACTGCTCTCTGCACGGATAGATCGAGAAGTGAGCGAGCGCCGGTGTGTGTTCGCTCACTTCCCGATCTACTGAGCCGACCTGTGTGACAGTTTCATTGTCACAGGTCGGCTCAGATTATGAGGCTGAGTGAAAATCACTCACCTCATAGTTCTCCTTTAAGTCAACCCCAAACTTTCTAGTTTTGCATAGAGGGGAGGGGTTAGAACCTCAGGTTAGACATGCTCTCTGTATCCCCACCAGGTAGATGTGCCTCACAGTTTTGTTTGACAGTAATCAAGCAGACAGAAAGTGAAGGTAAATGTCTCCAACAGAGACACCAATGACAGTGAATATTGCCATTGTTTTCAAAACGCCCCTCACTCAGTTCAAAAAGGTTTTGGCTGCAGTTTGTCTTTGCCCATTGGTTATGTTGCCTTGATTCTGCACATATTACCCTTCATTGGTTATCTAGTCTTTCTCTAAATGCCGGGCATCAGTTCCCTGCCCCATGTCTTGTTTTACCCTCCATATGCCCCATCAGTTCTCTCACCTATCTCACCTCTTATGCTGTCATTCAGAAGGCTATACCTCTCTCTTAGGGCTAGTGGAGTAAGTGTCCTCCTCCTGTCAAGGCTGCCGGGAGTCTGTGAAAACAAAACAGTTACTCAGTTATTAATGTTTAGACAACTTCACCGCAAGTCACCATTTATGAGTTTCTTAAGGGAAGCAAGTCAAAGAGCAATAGAGAGCTGCCCTCAGCACCACAACTCTACCCTGAGCTACATCACCAACCTCGTCTCCAAATATCACCCAAACCGTCATCTTTTCTCCTCCTAAGACCCCCTGCTCTCTAACACCCGCCTCACTAGACATGTGCGATTTGTTTCGTTCCGAATTCGGAGATTCGGGTGTATCCCAATTACAGATATAACGAACGCAAACTAATCCGAATTTCCGATTCCGAAATTTGTTAGTGGTAGTCTGTACGAAATTTTGTTTGTTGGACGAAAGTTCGTTGCAGCAAAATGACATTTGAGAGAAAAAAAATGTTTTTTCTCAAATGTCATTTTGCTGCAACGAACGAACAAAACAAAAACGAACGTTGGTACAGACTACCGCTAACCAATTTCGTCCGAATCCCGAAACAAACTGATTTTCGGACCCGAATCCCGAAAAACTAAATAACGCAAAATCGGAAATCAAAACGAAACGAAACTAAACAAATTTTTTGCCAGTGCACCTGTCTACTCCTCACCTCCTCCCATGCTCACCTCCAGAACTTCTCCAAAGCCTCTGCCATCCTCTGGAACCCCCTACCCCAATCTGTCAATCTATCACCTACTATGTCCACGTTTAGTTGATTCGCGAAAACTTATCTCTTCAGTGAAGGCCACCCCGCCTCTACCCAGCAACTCACCTTTATTCTTCTTCAACCCATTGCCTCACAGGAATAACATTTGGCATCACTTATCCTTTCTTTTTAGATTGTAAGCTCTCGTGAGCAGGACCCTCCTAACCCTCATGTATTGAACTGTATTGTAAATTTACTGTCTTCTTTATATTTTAAAGTTCTGTGCAAACTGTTGGTGCTCCATACACTGAGTGGCCAGATTATTATGACCACCCCATCAGTACTTCGTTGGGCCACGAGATGACTTTGTTGGGCCGCCTGGTGACTCCACGAGATGATGAAAGGTGATGCGAGGAATCTGACACGGCACTGTTGCCCTTCTGTTGTCTTGTACCAGTCTTACCACTCTCCGTTCTACCCTAACATTGACTAGTCGCTGACGGCCACAATTCCCACGTTCAGATTCAGTTTTTCGGCTGACAGTCCAGTCTCTAAACACTGGCCACAGTGTATATCCCATACAATAATAATAATTAGGGATGCTTCGATACCGGTTTTTCGGTATCAAGTATGAGTACCGATATTTTTATTTCGGCACTCGGTATCGGTGACTTCCGCTAGCATGGAGCTGGCTTCCCGACCAATCAGGAAGCAGGGCGGCGTGTCCTTACCCGCCATCCAGCTTCTTGATTGCCCGGAAAGCCGGCTCCATGCTGATTGGCCGGGCTTCCAGGACAATCAGCATCGATCCGGCTTCCCAGCCAATCAGGAAGCCCGGCCAATCAGCATCAAGCCAGCCAAACAGCAGGGAGCTGGCTTCCTGATTGGCCCGGGAAGCCAGCTCCATGTTCCCTCGTGGCACTACCGGTCAAAGGAAATCTCTCTCTGGCTGAAAGTTCCCGTATCGGGGGTAAGTATCAGAGCATTTGGGCGCCCAAATACTCGGTATCGGCACTGATACTAGTATCGGTATCAATGCATCCCTATAATAATAATAATAACCCAAAATGTGTAGCCACCTTGCCCTAAGTAGGGTGACTACTTAAATTTAGTTTGCTAGGACTGTATCCATCCAGCTGATTACATAGTCTGTACTCATTTGGCTTTCCCTAAGGATTCCGTCACTGATAACATCTGCCTTCTGCTGGGTGTAGCCTTGCCACAGAGCAGAGCAACTAATAATGGAATGTTACGGATATCTATGTCTCTCCCGACAATTACTAGGTGTTTCATGGCCAGTGGTGCTGGGGGAGGACATAAATATCCTGGTTTGACCATGTGAGAGTCTCTTTTTCTCCCCCATGCCTCCTGCCTGGGGAAGGTTCGCTATGAGTGTGTTGTCTGAGCAGGCCTGAAGTCTGCAGGTGGTCCGGTGTGGACCCAGTTGGGGTATGAAATTATCCATGGGATGGAGAGCTAGGGAGAAACTTCATCTGCTGGATGTGCTGGAGACGCCAGGATGGGCTTGGACCTCAGAGAGAAGTCTGGTGTCTCGCCAAGGGAAGATCTCAAACTTGTCTGCTGACCAGCTATGGTTCTCTGACACAGTGTCACCACATTTTTGGTTCAAGGCCCTTTACACTGTGAAGCTGGAAAGTAGCGAGTCTGGAGTTCTGTGTTCTCCGAGATGTCTCCATCCCTAACCGTCTTTGCCTATTATTTGTTATTCATGGAATAAAACATTAGACAATCCTTAAAGTGACTGACGACCAAATTCTTTTATTTTTGCTTGCATATCCCACATAAGGACTCATCCCTGAGGTGGAATGTCAGCTCCTCCTGCCCCCGAAAGTCAGCGGGGTGCTACAGTAGCCATTCAGAACTTAGTTTACTGAAGTCATATCAGTGAACGATGAAAGTTGATTGGTATCTAGTGAATGCACCATTTCACACATTGCCCTTTCCTCTACCATTACAGCACACAGTTCCTCAAACTGTGGTACATATACCCTGGGCAGGGGGGGCGGGGAGGATTTTTAGGTTCAGATGGTACTTCTGCTTGCTCAAGTAAATTCATGTTAACAGTATAACATTTTATCAAATAACAAATAAAACATAAATCACACTTCGTGGAGTATTTCCAGTTATTTAACGGCCCAGGGGAGTTTTTTGGAAAACATTTATATGCAGTTAGAGGCTCCTGGTAATAAATTTTACATGTCAAGCGGCCTTGTTATAGGGCACACAGACAAAACAAGCTATAATGGATATAAATGAACACAATCACTGCGCATCCCGGGTAAAACTTTGTAAAACCAAATGCTTGTGTAGCACCCTGCTAAAAGGAGTGCTAGATTATATCTATATTCTACCGTGTTTCCCCGAAAGTAAGACCTACCCTGAAAATAAGACCTAGCACTATCTTCAGGGATTTCTGTAATATAAGACCTACCCCGAAAATAAGACCTAGTTCAGTGGTAGATCTCATATTACAGACATCCCTGAAGATAGTGCTAGCCGCAGCTCCATCCCGCCTCCCGCCAAGCACGTTAAGTACCAGTACTCTGTGCATCCCTTTATTTATAAAAACAAAATCGTACATTAAAACGGAGAAGTACAAATCCCAGGAGCTCTGTGTGCTCCTTACAAATGACAGCTGCCTCCAAATTTTTTCTAGTCTAGTCTTGGAGCTCAAAAGTATCGGTACATGTACTCGTACTTGCACCGAGTACTGTACTTGGTATCTGTGCAACCCTAGTGTGTAGCATTACAGAACAGGAACTAGAGCTGATGTACGCAAGGAGCAAATATGCACAAGTACATTCATATTTGCCCTTTTATACGCACAGGCTCCAGTTTCTACTACACAGTGGTTGTGTTTTACTGCTTCTACTTGTAGCACCCTGCTAAAAGGAGTGCTAGATTATATCTATATTCTATGTTCAGTTCGATTATGACAAAGCAATCTGTGAAGCTGTGTCTGCCTGTTGCTGGGTGTGTTACCACACAGAGCAGAACAGCCAATGAGGATTGCTATGGGCATTTATGTCTCCCAGCCAATCACTGTAGGACAGTAGCAGTGATGCATGCTGGGAGAGGAGATAAATGCTCAGGGTGGCTGATGTAACGGTCTCTTCCCTCCCCCAGGGCCACCTGGGGAGAGGATGCCTGCTGCTGAGAGACAGAATAGGTTAGGTCCAAGCCTGGGGCCTAAGCCTGGACACAGGGGCCTGAGCCTGGAGGCCCAGTGGTCAGCCATTTATGTTGGAGTTAAACCTGAACAAGACCATTAACAGTACTGCTTGCCAGAAGTTCTCCACACAGATTGCCGGTACGGCTTAAAGGTCCAAGTCTGTGTTTGCAGCAGTTACTTTGCTCTATTTCAAGTACTAAGAGTCTACCTTCATCCTGGATGTGCCTGACCCTCTCCCTCTCTCCCTGGAGTTCAACAATAAAAGAGAATCATCTTGGAGCTATTGTCTGGACTTCAATCTGTCGGTAACCACTGGAAGTGGTAAGTGCTTTTGGGGCAGCCATGTGTTTTAATAATCCCTAGACAGGCTATTGGAAGACCCGATCATTCAGTGGCTCCTTCGGGGGGGAGCGATACACTTGGCTGCGGTAAGACAACAAAGGATGGGTATGCTATAGCAACAGCCTAACATGTCAACTCCTCCCATGCTCGCCTCCAGGACTTCTCTAGAGTCTCTCCCATCCTCTGGAACTCTTTGCCCCAACCTGTCCGTCTATCGCCCACCTTGACTGCCTTTAGGCGATCCCTAAAGACTCATCTCTTCAGGGAAACCTATCCCACCTCAACCTAACCACTCAACCATCACGTTCTCAAACAATTCATCCCCACGCAGCTCCCTCCTCATGTATCACTTCCCCCTCCCTTTTAGATTGTAAACCCTCAGGGGCAGGGCCCTCCTTACCATCTTGTCTTGAATTGTATTGTGATTATAATGCCTTCCTTATATTGTATAGCGCTACCTCCATGGATATAAATGTTGGGTATCTAATCTTCTTATCATTCATTACAGCTCAAGTAGTGGCTTGGAGAAGCTACAAAACATCATCAACATTACGGAACAAGTCCAACTGAATCCGACCAACTACTACCAGCTATACGATGACTAGGATACATAAGAACCTTCGAATACATATTTTTATATAGAGCTTCGTGAATTGAGCCTATTGTGTCCTGTGACGTGTAAGGTGTATAATATACAGTATATACCAGTAGATGCAGATTATGATCAAGGAACTCTCATAGCATCTAAACTCACTGGCCACTTTATTAGGTACACCTTGCTAGTACCGGGTTGGACCCCTTTTGCCTTCAGAACTGCCTTAATTCTTCATGACATAGATTCAACAACGTGCTGGAAACATTCCTTAGAGAGTTTGATCCATACAGACATGATATATAACATTTTACATAATGTCCCATCCTGAGTGTTGTCCATTAAATAAGATTCAGATATGTGTCAAAAGCTGGACCCCAGGTCAATTTTCCAACCAAAAGCTGAACCCCAGGTCAATTCTCCAACCAAAAGCTGAACCCCAGGTCAATTCTCCAACCAAAAGCTGAACCCCAGGTCAATTCTCCAACCAAAAGCTGAACTCTAGGTCAATTCTCCAACCAAAAGCTGAACCCCAGGTCAATTCTCCAACCAAAAGCTGAACTCAAGGTCAATTCTCCAACCAAAAGCTGAACCTTAGGTCAATTGTCCATCCAAAAGCTGAACCCCAGGTCAATTCTCCAACCAAAAGCTGAACCTTAGGTCAATTGTCCATCCAAAAGCTGAACCCCAGGTCAATTCTCCAACCAAAAGCTGAACCCCAGGTCAATTCTCCATCCAAAATCTGAACCTCAGGTCAATTGTCCATCCGAAAGCTGAACCCCAGGTCAATTCTCCAACCAAAAGCTGAACCCCAGGTCAATTCTCCATCCAAAAGCTGAACCT